CCCCTCCCCTCCCTTCCTCCGATATCTCATTCAACAATCTTTTACCGCACATTTTAAAACATCAGTTAAAAGTCTTCAAAATTTTCCGTAAAAAAAAATCTCTTCGAGAGCTGCTTGGAAAAATGAATTTGGTAGCTGTAAAAAAATTAGTGAAGCATTAAGGCGGTAGCTTTGACTTTCTAGCATTCCAGAAAAAAAAAGCTGAGGTTTAAACTATCGGATGAGGAAGAGAGGGAGACAAATAAGCATTCTACGAAAATGAAGAGGCAAAAATAAATCATTTTTGCAGTCTGCGTTTTTTCTTCCGAGACAGAGAGATAATTACTTTACATCGCAAAAGTGCAATCTGTGCAGTTATTTTTTTTTTTTTTTTCAATCACTGAAGGATTAAAAATAAAAAAGAGGAAAAATAATTTTAAAAGAAAATGCTGAACTAAGAGGAAATGAATGTTTGCAAAAATGGTAGAGATCTGTAGAGAAAGGTAGATTAAGTTGTCAAAATTTCAGCCATTCATATTAGTTTTTTTCTCCTCTCTTATTATCTCCAATGTCTCTTTCCAAATACCTTAGTACTCAACATTTTCACATGATGGTTAGAGGGCTGTACTGATGATTCTCACTACTCAACATTTTCACATGATGATTAGAGGGCTGTACTGGTGATTCCCAACACCTTATACTGTCTGTGCTTATAGCTAAGGGATGAACACACAGGCAGACCAAATTCTACATATTTCTCTTTACATGATTCTTCAATATGTCATATGGTTTGTACCGCATTAACAGACCTACTGTCTTCCCCATCACAATTCATTAACAAATTTTACTCAACAATGAAATTTAAGGATTTCAGCCGTTCCGCATTTTTTATGGTTTGGACTGGCCGTTACTTCAGAAATTACAGCTGGGCCGCAAAAAATTTTTTATCAATTTAACCCACTTAGGCTGCTCCTTTGAACCATCCACTACTGATTCGACCTTCTAATGGCCGTTACTTATCATAGATGGAGAACCTCGCAATGAATTAAGGCTGATTCAGTCTTTTCAGGAAGCGCCTTTTATAGTTTCGGAAAGAGAATCGCCTTTTATAGTTCCGCAAAGAAATAAATTGAAATTCAACAGCCTTTTTCAGACATTTTTAGTGAATTAAAATGCCTAGAAACTAGTACTGCAATTAGCAAAGTTCATCGAGCAAAGATGGCAAAATAGCACTTATCCGTTGTAATTGAAGAACGCTGCACAGACAGGAGCTAATGGATTTGTGCAAAGAACTAATCGCTGCTTTCCTGGAAAATCCATCTCACCTGATCCAACTCTCCTCCGTATTCAGCAACAGCAGCAGCTGCCTATGAATCAGCTTTGTGATAAAGCAGAAAAGCCAATGGTGAGAATCCGAAAGCACAAAATTTTATGAAAAATTTCGGAAAAAAAACTGATTTTCTAAAGTAGTGGAATTCGAAAGGTTTCTTTTTTAAGAGCTGGTATTGAAATTCGTGCCTGCAAATGACAGGGAGTTCAAAGCGACCAAAAAAACGAGAAATCCTATTACATACAAAGAAGAATTTTCAGAAAATGCAAAAATTGCTTAAACTAAGAAGCCATTTACGTCAAAAGATCTACCAGATTGTCTCTATGGAATTACATGGATGTGACAAGCTCAAAACAGAGAAGAATGGAGAAGTTAGCAAATGCACCAGCGATTGCCAGATCCAATCGTCAGAAGCAGAAATCAAAAAACCCTTTCGTATCTGCATTCTATGTAAGACAAACCCTTACGTATTTGCATTCTATGGAAAGTTAAAAAATGCCCCAATATGCAGTCCTCTTCTTCCCAGTGCTATGAATTCGGCAAGCCATTTTTCGCTCCGCAATTTTTTTTTTTTAAATTTTTTTGGCCCCATATTTTTTATTCAATATCCAGTGGGGTTCCACATTATCCGCCATTACACATATTTATATTTTAACTACTAGTCTTAATTTATCAAAACTGCAACTGACATACTAATGAGGTCCAGGAATGTATGCGATCAAAATATCCATGTTCATTTAATTTTTAGCACATATATATAATTAAATTTAAATTTTTTAATTTATATGTATTAATTTTCTAACATACCTACGCGTACATACGTAATAAAAGATTAATATATATTAGAATATTAATACGACTCTTCCCAGTATCGGAATTTTTGGAAAAAATCTGAAAGGAAGTTGGCTAAAAAAAATAGGGGGAACAATTGAATATTAATACATATAAATTAGAAAACTTAACCATACTTATCTAAAATTACATATATGCATATAAAAGAAAATTGGTTAAATAAACGGGAAAATTACTATCGCATACATTCCCATAAAATTTTTTTATTTATATATTATTATTAGTATCTTCACGGCTTCGAAGT